AATTAGTGTAATATCTAGAGGTTACTATGGTAAATTTGAGATACGTACAGTTATATTTAGGCTGATATGGGAAATGTTGTGCACTAAATATGTCAAAATTAATTTCACTAAGTCCTCTACAGTTTTATCAAGTACCTTTTAAGTACTATGATGAGAGTTAGCTACATAATAGAAGAAAAAAGACACTTTCGCTTTACCAATATCATATGTCTGTCATTCTGTTTATCTTTGTACTAGCAATCTCTGAAATCGGTTATTGTAAGCTCAATTTAACAGTCAAAGTTTCCAACAGAGGTAATGCTTGAAGGCAGAAATTACACTGAAAGAAGCTTGTATTATAGATTATTAAATGTAGACTTTACAGTGCAGTTTAGAAAAAAACAGAAACAATATAAAGGACTAATAAAGGGGAGGCATATGGTTTAGTGCTGGCAGTAAGGGAGGGGAGAGCTGGCAACACAATCTCCAAGTTTTCTGAATTGTTCTTATCACAGTAGACATCCTGAAGGATTGCTGGAAGCAAAGGCATCCTTGCTAGGTTCTGCACCAGCTATTTAAAGTATCTCACTAAGAGGCGTATTTATAAAGACCTGCGTTATGCACTCTCTGCACACCACAGGACATCACTGAAAATTCTTCACAATGATCTTGCATTTTAGATTTCATTTATAAAATGTTGAGCATTGTGTGAAGCCTACAATGCAATGCATTGTGTTCTCTGCATAATAAGTTAGATGACATGTTTCCACCTCCAGGAAAACTTTTTTCCCAAAGTAATTAACGTGGAATGGAGATTGCTCAACTACTGCTGGGAAAGAGCAGCAGAGCCAGCTGAGCTAGTGAGGGAACAACTTTAGCAGTTTCGCTGTGAACTTTAAGAATGAATTGCTCCATAGTGCTTGCAGCTTCAGAGGCTTGAGGGTTTGTTAAAGCTCATTTAATGTGTGCTAAAATACGTAAATGCTTGAATATCCACAAACTGGTTCATTTTAATATATACATACAGCGAAAAAAAAAAAAGAGTTCTTTATTTTGAGTTCCATTCAAAAGTGGAAGCTCCGCTTATTTGCCTCCCCCCCCTTCACTGACATATTTGGCACATTTTGGGGGGGAGGGGGGAGGGAATACCTGTTTTTGACAGGTACCTGCTCCCACTTCTGGCTCAGTTCACGGCTGTGAAGTGAGCCGGTAGTTCGGCCCCTTCCTCCCTCCCGCAGTCTCCTGGGAACTTTCACAGGTCCCAGAAGGCTGCCAGACCAATCAGGAAGCATAGCACAACTCGAGCATGTGCAGTGGGCACCAGGCTGTGAAGCCACAAGCTGTCACAGCCTGGAGGAGAAGGGTGAGAACATCACTGGACTCTGGGACAGGTAAGTGTGTGTTTATTAAAAGTCAGCAGCTGCAGTTTTTGTAGCTGCTGATTTCTAGTAAACACAAAAATGGCTGGAACTCTGCTTTAAGTCAGAAACAGGGGCGGACTGACTATTTGGAATCTCGGGCACCGCCCGAGGGCCTGGGGTCATTAGGGGGCCCCATGAGATACCCCTGGTACCTTTTTCATAGGATTTTTTGAGTTTGGGCAGGGACACATGGGCCCCATGATCCCCTATTGCCCGGGGGCCCCATGAGTTATCAGTCCGCCCCTGGTCAGAAACGTCTTACAATCAACCAGAGATGATATACTGATAAAGGTCTGTTGACCAGAAGTATTCTGTACATTACTCCATCAAGTCTTACAAGTAATATTCACACCAATACAGAAATGTTAACCAACAGAAAGTCAGTTCCATGAGCCTAGTAGAAGTACTTTTGTAAAGAGATGCATGTATAATGCAAAAAGTAGTACATACCCTCACTTGGTCTAAATGGTTTCCATAAAACATAAGCAAATAAAACCCAGAAGGTCGCTTTTGTTGGTTACCCTTCTAGTGCAGAGGCCGTCTGGGGCCATGTAAGAAGTCTATGACCTAGGTGTAAGGAAGGATAATTATGGAGGGCAGGAAAAGGAAGGATGGGCGAGGGCTGCATTATTTGGAGTATGGAAGAAATAGGTATAATATAGGGGAAGACAAATGAAAGAGGAAGGGGAGCGATGTTGGCATTAGGAAATAATAACCGAGAAAAGAAGTAAAAGAAAAAGAGGTATAGTCACAAAATATGCAAATGTTGACCTTCCCTGAAAAAGCCAGACTTGCTTCCTTTACCTCCTGAGCTTTTTTATTGGTCCATTAGTGAGATGAGTGACTTCATTGACTAGTATGGAGGCTCAAGAAAGCATGGGGCATGCCCAAATTTTACAGGGAAAGCTGAAATTTGGATATATGTTCAGATGCTTACATCTCTAGATCTAAAGATCATTTTGGCATGCAGTTCTCATTGAGGGTAACATTTTCTTATGCATTTTTTCATCATATGCTCAGCCTGAATTGTTCAGGTTTGTGGCCTGTTTATTGTCAGATGGGAATTCAGAGGGTACAGGGACAAAGGAGGTCAGGCAATGCACAAACTATCATCATCTGTTACGTGTCCCTGAAAATTCACCAGCACACTGGTGAATTTATAAGGCCATTGTGGCATTATAAAGCCATTTTGTATCTGCCTGTAGTTTATAGTTCATACTGCCAGAAGCAATAATGCTATTCTCCCCATGACTAATATTTTGTATCTTAATATTTCCTCTAATCTTTGTGTTGCCAAGGGGATGTTTGAGTGTACTATAGTTCCTCCAAAATTTTTTTAAGCAGTCTCATAGAATCTCTATCCATAGGCCCCACTGTAATTTAAAAAATTCTGGGAATGCTATGCACTCCAGCACACTGCCTGCAAGTGCCGCTGACACCTTGCTCTGCTGGGCGGAGTGATCTCCTGCCCCATAGATAAATTATAGTTCCAGTTTATTTTTTGCTGGGGCTTATTGCTTGCCCTAACACTTGCTGGGGGTTATATCTGGGACTTATCATTGCTGACCCTGACACTTGCTAGGGGTTCTGATTGTTGGTCCTAATAAATGCTGGGGGTTCTTGATGGGATTTATTATTGCTGGCCCTGACACATGCTGGGGATTATTGCTTACCCTTACACTTGCTAGGTTTCATCACTGCTGGTGCTGACATTTACTAGGGGATATGATTGCTGACCCTAATAAATGCTGAGGGTTATTCATGGGAGTTATTACTGCTGGCCCTCACACTTGCTGTGGTTTGTCATTACTGGCCCTGACACATGCTGGGGCTTATTGCTTACCCTGGCACTTGCTGTGAGTTATCATTGCTGGTTCTGACATTTAATAGGGGTTATGATTGCTGACCCTAATAAATGCTGCGGGTTATTAAACCAAATAAATCAAGAAAAGGTGCAGCGCATATAATAGAACAGATTTGTATCTAAAAATGCTTATTAGCAACAAAAAACTTTAAAGTGCAAGTTGAATAAACCAAAGAACACATATAAGTCCCATTAATTGCTCTATGGCGTGATGGTGCTATTCAAGGTGAAATCCCAGCAGACTACATGTGAATGTTCTGGGGATCAGGAGTATAAGGTGAGAAGTAGTTATAATCCGGTGGTGTGTGATAAATCAGTGGAATTGCAAACTCACCAGAAGCGCAATCTTAATGCGCATTGGTCATATACATCAGCCTGGAGATCTCCCCTCTCTGCAATCTGGTCTGGTCTAAGATTCTCTCCCTCTGATGGTATGGACGTTTCAAGATTTCAATCAGAGGTCCCTTTCATGGGTTGTGTAGTGTGGTCTGGTCATAGGGGAACAATCCTTCCTCCGGGCTGGATGAGATCTGGGCCCTGAGGGTTTAAGTGCTCATGGTGGGGCAAAAAATAGGGGATCCCATAGTGTAGTAAGCTTGTAATTTATTGGAGAATTATTCAAGGGTAAAATAATGGTGTACACACATGTAAAATCATCCAGGTAAAACCTGGCAAGTAGTTAAAAATGATTAAGGTAGCTACAAAGCTTTGCAGATAACAAAGTGATATGTAGCCTGTGCTGCCAATGCTACTAACCAGTCAGCATGTAAAGATGGCCGCCGGACCTCCGTGATCCGGCGGCGTGACGTCACTGCGTAGTGAGGCTCCTCCTTGACGAGTTTCGTATAGTCATACGTTTTCAAAAGGGGTGATGCCTTGGCTACCGGATGTCTATTGATGGGTGTTCTTATTGCTGGCCCTGAAACTTGCTGTGGTTTGTCATTGCTGCCTTAACACATGCTGGGGCGTCTTGCTTACCCTGACACTTGTGTGAGTTATCATTGCTGGTTCTGACATTTAATAGGGGTTATGATTGCTGACCCTAATAAATGCTGCGGGTTATTGATGGGTGTTATTATTGCTGGCCCTGACACTTGCTGCGGATTATCATTGCTGCCCTAAGACATGCTGGAGAGTATTGCTTACCCTGACACTTGCTGTGAGTTATCATTGCTGGTCCTGACATTTGATTGCTGGCCATAATGGTATTGATGGGAGTTTTTATTTGTTGCCCTGACACAGGGGTGCCTGGGGCTGTATAATGTAAAACTCAGGTATATTTCAGGTGTATTTGCTTGTCTGGGATTCAAGGTGCTGCATATAGCCACTCATAGAAATAAAGGGCTGTAAGGAAATATGGTCCTGAATGTCGACTGTCTCCATCTAGTTACGCATGTCCATATGCATATGTTTTATGTTTAAAAGAATAAACAGAAATGAAGCACAACATACAGATAATTACAGGGAAAAACATTCCAATTTCCTTTACAGAGGTTACAAGTATTAACATAAAATAAAGACACAGAGATACTGGATGTAAAAACAAACATATTTTGAAACTAAACAGGGATAATGTAATTAAAGTGTGCCTATTAGAGCTCCCTCTAGATACAGCCTAGTAATGACATTGCTGGGAGGTCTATTCATTTAGCCGCTACACATAGCAAAGGAATTGGATAAAAAAATGAAATCAAAGGAGACATTAATATAATACAGACCTTCTCTTCACTTTTCAGAGCTATACCGGTTCAATGTGCTGGAGACTGCTCCCCCGGGCTCAGTGATTGGACGACTAAAAGCCGAAGATGCTGATGTGGGAGAGAACACAGACATGTTTTATCAGATTCAACAACAAGAGATGGCAGCATTGTTCAGCGTTACAACTGATGCAGTCACCCAGGAGGCCATCCTCAGCGTTCTTCAGGTATGGTTTAGAGAGATGAAAGAGGAAGCTAAAATATACAGAACATTGGTAATGTGGCATAATCCGTAATAAATATTGAATGAAACCACCCAGGAATATTAGCTCAGCAACAGTTCATCTCTTACAGGCTCCTGACTTTAAAACAAAAAATAAAAACACTCCTGTATTTAGACAGTAAGCTTATGCTAAGAAGGGGAGGGTTAGGCACAGACTGTACAAAATTCATTTAGTAATGTAAGTTTTAGTGTATTTTACTATCCAAGGCCTACCTGTACTGTATGTCTACTTACTGTTTGACTGAAGTCACGGCAAACAACAAAGACAGGTTACTGAGCTTTTTTGCTGTCTATACCTGTTAAGAAATTTCCCTTCACTTCCTACCCTGTAGACAGAATAGGAAGTGTTAAGTCTTAAATGCCTCTTTATGCCTTGACATACCTCCTTAGATCCAATCTATCAGAACAGTTTGGTCACCTGCTGACTTTGCACCATCCACAGGCAGCCTAACTCTTCAATAAAACACAGAAGTTTACAGTTTACTTCAGCTAATTGTAGTACAGGGGATGTTTGTGTCTAGTCTTTTGAACTGGAAGAATGACTTCGCTAACCCTTTCTTTGTGAATAACTAACACTAACTGAGGAAACATGAAAGAAGTGGGGAGGATCTAACTAGGTCCAGACTAGCTAGCAATAAACAGAAGGTGATACAAAGGAAGATACCAAAATCGTTTTGAATAAAAAAGTTGTAGCAGTCAGAAATTGCCACTAGGTGTCATCATATGACACAAAAACGACAACCTCATGCAGTTCAATAATACATGAAAGTAGGGCAGAACAGGAAGTGAGTACAAATCTCTCCAAAGGGAAAATTCTCTTTTAGACTGCTGTCCCCAGAACTCGTGTCTCCATTGGAAGATCTCCTCTCACCTCTTTTTCCATTGAAAACTGTAAAATTCTGGATTTCCCTTCACAGAACAATGAGCACCAGAGCAAAGAAAGAGGATGAATCACTCTAGTTGGGAAACAGACAGCAATCCAAATGCTAAGAATGGTCCCTAGGACAATTTAAGAGGGGGGATCTTTCCATTGGGGGCAAAGACTGTAATTAAAACATGAGAGGGTTCCACTCCCCATCCAAAACTAAATTTTGGAATTAGGAAAACTTTGAGTGACATTAAACCTCCTGTATATTTAGTTACCACCTTTGAACCCGCCCAAGTCTCGTACGTTGCATTTAAAATGCTTTGTCCAAAACTAGCACCCATATTCTAGACATGACCCCACAAGTGATCTCTAGAGGAACAGTGCCTTACTAGTAGGATCTGTTTATATGGAGTTGTACACACAGGTCTTTTACCTATTATTCTGCCCATACATGTAACAAAATTGATTAGGTTTGATCATTTCCAATGAGCTTTTGATTCCTCATTCTCTCATTCACAACAGCAAATAACAGACCAGTTTGGTCAAATTCATTTTGATTTTACATCGGGACCAAACTTTTGTATAAAAAAAAAAGATTGTTTACTAATCCCACTGTTCATTTAGTGCAAAACAATTCTAAACGTGACAATTCTTTATTTGAAATTATCATTACAAATTTTTACCACATACAGTGCTCAGCATAAATGAGTATACCCCAACAGGTTTGTCAGAAAACCTTTACTTTCCTTTCAGAATCAACATTTTCTATGCGACACTATACTAAAAAATACTCTCACAAATGCGGGTCATTAATTGCAAACAAGATTTTTTAGTTTGCACACACAACAAAGTATTTTTCCTAACAAATTAAGTCAAGACCATGTTGTAAAAATGAATACACCTCAATGAAAGTCTTAGGAGCAAAGCTAAATTTTAGACAACAAAATCCTAACTAACAAGAATTCAGGTGAGTCTAATTATTCATTAAACAGGTGTCAAGCAGACAGCAGAAGCAGAAAAGAGTGGTACTTAAAAAGAAAAACCCCTTCCCATTTCATGCTGTCAGCAATGGTACCACATGGAAGAGAAATGTCACAAGGCCTGAGAAAGAAAATAATTTCTTGACACAAGAAAGGTGAAGACTGCAAGAAGATCAGCAAATCTTTACTATTCAGTCAGAATACTATAGCAAGAGTGATAAAAAAAAATTAACAAAGATGGAACTTCAACCATCTCACAGAGCTGTCCAGGCCGTCCATGGAAGTTAACACTTTGAAAGGAGCCTCTTCAAATGAGAAGGGTTGAAGAAAATCACCTTGCAAGTTTACTGCAGTTAGCTAATGAAGTAGAAAGCCAAACTGGGGTGATTGTTTCCCATGACACAATACGGCGTACACTGCAGAGGAATGGCATGCATGGTTGTCCTCCACGAAGGAAGCCTTTCCTACAGCCAATGCACAAAAAAGCCCACCTAGAACTTGTCAGGGCCCATGCTGAAAAAGAATAAGACTGCTGGGGCTCTATACTCTGGAGTTATGAGACCAAGATAAATATTTTTGGAACTGATGGCTTCCAAACTGTATGGTGTCGCAAAGGTGAGGAGTACAAAAAAAATGCATGGTGCCTACAGTGAAACATGGTGGTGGCAGTGTCCTTCTGTGAGGCTGCATGAGTGCTGCTGGTGTCAGGGAGCTGCATTTCATTGAAGGTATCATGAATTCACAAGTGTACTGCTCTGTATTGAAAGAGAAGATGCTACCATCACTCCGTGCCCTTGGTCATCGTGCACTTTTCCAACATGGCAATGATCCAAAACACACATCTAAGGCCACTGTTGAATTTCTGAAGATGAACAGGGTGAAAGTGATTCAGTGGCCAAGTATGTTTCCTGATTTGAACCCAGTTGAACACCTATGGGGAACTCTGAAGAGACAAGTGAGAGCATCACTTTCCATCCAGCATCCAGGCTCTAAAAGAGGTCGTTCCTGAAGAATGGAAAAAAATGTTGCAATATGTCGCCAACTTGTTCATTCCATGCCTAGAAGACTTGTTGCTGTCCTTACAAATCATGGAGGTTATACAAAATATTAGAAGTAGTAGTTTTTGCTGTGGGGTGTATCCATTTTTGTATCAACTAATTTGAGTAAAACTGAAGATTTTGTAATCTAAATTATATTATTAACCTTACATTCATGTAATGAGCTAAACAAATGTTCTATAAAACTCAGTTTTGTCAAAATTTTGGAAATTGTTCTTGTGTTCACTGAGATATTGATTAAAATCTTACTTTTCAAAAGGGTGTACTCATTTATCCTGAGCATTGTATGTCTCTGTATATGTCCAGCATGAGACAGGAACATACGACAATTTAATTCCTGGAATGGACTGCAAAAAAAAAAAAAAAAAAAAAAAACAACATTTGCTTACCTATATACTAGCGGCTGTTGTCACCTTTGTTACCTTGTGCAGTGATGCACTTTTCTAGACAATGTGCCACTGCCAGAAACATTCCTAGGATTTGTTTTCTGGAACAGTGCACAATATCTTTGTCATGGCATGCAGGATGTCCGGAATGTCATCAAATCTGTGTCCTTTTTAAGGCACTTTTTAATTTTAGAAACAGACAAAAGTTGCAGGGTGCTAAGTGAAAGGAATAGGGTGGCTGGTCAAGTTTCAAAATGGATTTCTGGGCCAGGAACTTGCAAACACACGTGCAGGAGCATTGTCTTGGTGGAAACTCTACTTCTCAGGCAAGAGTTTTTCCTCTGAACAGATTCTCGTAACCTTTTCAGAATTTCCCAATAACAATGTTGGTTGACTTTTATACCTTGTTCTTTTGAACTGAGAATGAGGCATGCATGGTTTCTTCAGGTGAGGTGAATTCTTTGTTTTCCTCTGCATGTTCTGATGTTTTGTTTGTGGATTATACTGGAAATACCATGTTTAATCACCTGTAATAACCTTATAAAACACTTCTGCATTCTTCAAAAGATCAGATGATATTTGAAGACAACGTTCTTTCCGATCTTCTTTCCAGATTCAAGGCACCATCTTCACAGAAATCTTTCTCATTCCCAAATTCCTCCATTACAATCTGCCGCACTGTTTCTGTGTTCGCGTTCAATTCTTCTACCATCATTCGCACACTCAATCTATCAATTCGATCTGAGCATAGGAGGGTTCACACTCAGTCCACATTTGCATCCATCCTTTGGGATCTTTTCTGTAACACCTCGTATATGTGATTGCAGTGTTTCCTAACACTCAAAGTCCCTCCAAGTTCTACTCCTCAGGATATTCTTCCTTTTATCAGCTGTGATCTTGCATTAAACTTGGATTTATCAGCTAAATGTACTTTTTCAGAACTGAACTGCAAAATAAAGATGATCATGATAGATCTTTTTTAAAGTGAAAAAAAAACGCATTGCAGCAGGTGCTTTATGAACACCATACTGCTTGCTGGCTGGTGTGTATGATTCTTGATCCCCTATACAGCAGCTGTCAGCACGGGAGTGGGAGAGGTAGGACTGGGATTTAAACAACTGTGTTATGATGCGCATGCACTGATACAGATCATGCTAACAGAAAGGAAGATCAGAGGGATGACCACATCATTGTTTTTTGCTGACATTTTATTGTCTAATCACACGCTAGGGGCAGGGAGGTGATAAAAGTCAGGTTACCATCCTTGCTATGCTGTGTGATAGGGCTGTGCATTCTCATGAAGCAATCATTCTACTCACTCCATCCATTTCCTCTTCCTACCAGCATTTTCCCTGTCATCATATGTGCACTCGAGAAATTTTAATTTTGTTTTGGTTACATTTGTTCATTGAAGAATGTAGTTTTGTCATATTTGTGATGTTGAACCATTTCCTTTTCGGAATTCATTTTGTATCTTCGGCATTCGTTTAGTGTAATCATTGGCCCGGTTGCTATATATCTGATATATTCGGAAGATTGTTATATATTTGATATATTATTGAATCAGACAGATTCAATATTTTCGGACACTAGTCCTACCCACCAAGAGAAATTGCGTGATACATCGACTGGCGTCATGTGCATCCAAATTA